TTTGCATTTTAAACCTAATGGTTTTACTTAAAAACTCTTTTAATACTGTTTTTAGTTTTTCTTCTCATTTAGACTAAAGAGTATTTCATATAAACATTGGTTCAAATAACTATTTGTAATGTGTAAGTGTGCTTTTAGATTTAAACCACCTCCAGGATTTTGTTTTTTACATCAACAATGAACACACAAAGATATTTTCTAGAAAAAAGCTTTCATAACCCTTCTGTATATTACCTACCCCTATGGTGATGGGAGGTAGAGCTGTCATTTGCTTGGGAAAATCTGTTTGCTTTGGGAAAATTCTAGTTAAACGCATCAGAAATCAAATTTGAAGTATTTGTAGGCAGATATTTACACTTTAATCCTTATATGTAGAAGGCTTCAGTGTGCATCATTTTGCTAAGTATCACTAAACTAAAGATGCTCCATGTCTTGTGCTCCTTTCCTCCTTCCTCACCCTCTGTTCCCTATGCGTGTCAGTTGAAGCAGGCGGGTACCATGTGCCGGCGCCCAGCAGGAGCATGTGACCTTCCAGAATACTGCACTGGGGCTTCTCCTTACTGCCCTGCCAACGTTTACCTGCTGGATGGCTCCTCTTGTCAATACGGAATGGCCTACTGCTACAATGGCATGTGCCTCACTCATGAACAGCAGTGCTTGCAGCTCTGGGGCTACGGTAATGAAAATGGTTTTACATGCACTTCATCACCTCCCTCAATATGACATTAATTTACTGCACATGCCTATAAACCACTAAGTCTTTGTTGAAGGTCAGTATTTAATAAAACTACAAATGAAATGTCTATACTGTCAGCTTACCAAGGTTAGTTAGTTGACATTGTATTCCAACTTATGTTTCCTAAAAGTGATGTCTTCAGTTTCTTGTAACTCTTCTGTCTAGTCATCCAAACATCTGTGTTCTCTTCTCAGGAAGTTTAGTACATAGTAAATAGCCTGGTACTTGGAAAGGTCTATCCTTACTTTCACAAAGCACTCACAGCACCACACATTCACATATCCTTACATTTCTAATGTTACTCAACTTTTGATGTAGTGACTTTTGCCTTTGGGATATTTTGGGAAAATAGAGTTAATTGGGTATGATGTGTTTCCAGGAGCTCAACCGGCCCATGATGTCTGCTTTGAAGATGTCAATGCAGCAGGAAATGATTTTGGAAATTGTGGGAAAGATGAATATGGCACCTATGTGAAGTGTAAGAAAAGGTAAGTGAAGCTTCACGTATCAGGTATCACCGCATGTGTTAAATAGCATCAGCTATTTAACGTAGGGTTATCCACACTGATAACAGATACAACTAATATTGGAAATGCTTTTGTTGAACATATCTTTACAGTACTATACTTTGACACATCATGGAGCCACACAGCTTTCAAATGTAGTGTAACAGTTTATTTTTAGTGTGTCAAAGAGTCTGATGGCAGCAGAAGGAACAACCTGCTGTAACGTTTCCTCAGACAGCCTTTCATCCTGGGAGCTCAGCCACATAGCTTCCTGGTCGGCAACTCGACGCCTTTGGACAGCTTTCCAGCTGTTTCTGCACACGCACACACACACACACACACTTCCTCTCTGGTCCTCAGCATCACTACAAAAAGCGAGAGCGTTCGTTAGTGAAATCCCCTCCACCTGGCCTTCAGCTTTCCTGTTCCCTGCTGCAGCACGCCTCCACTGCAACAGAGCCAGGGACCACACCCCTGCCACCCACCCCCACCACCTGACTGAGGCTGGGGCTAGATCCTGCCGAACCTACTCCCCCACCGGGAGGAAATCGGCCACGACCATCTGCCTTCCCGACCTGTGGACCACCTTGAACTTAAATGGGTGCAAAGCCAGATATGAGGGTAGAAACAGAGTTATGATGAATATTAAGATAAATATTAAAATAAATAGATGAATATAGCAATATAGGTAAAAACATGTGGGCAAATATGTCATG